TTCAGACAGTTGGAAGGTCTCGTGAGACAAGTCGCCTGACAGGCTCGGAGAGGTTATGGGTTGCCTCTGGTTCTAAGAATCTGGTGCTCACCATCCATGTCCACATTTCTCTCCTGGGTACATGTGCCTCTGGGTGTCAGAGGACTACCTCAAGGCCCTCAGGTGCCTTTGACCTTTTTGTCTGAGTCAGAATCAATGATAGTTTATCTTCCTGCAACTATGCAAAGTAGACCAGGCTAGCTGAACAGCATGCTCCAGGGATCCACCTGTCTCCACCTTCAATTTCGGATAATGAGTGTGCCACCATGCCCAGTTTTTTACAGGGGTTTAGGGACTATAAACTCATGTTCCCAAGATGGCTTTACTGACAGAGCCGTCTCTCTAGCTCATGTTTACAATTCTCAAAACATTTGCCATGTACAACTAAAGAGGACTTGATTAATATAAAACTTTGAGTTATTTCCAAAGGGTCTTAACATTCCCATTCGACATGAGTATTTACCACTATTTGGTATGAATGAGTTAATGTGGATTTGGCAAGACTGCAATACAACTCATATTATTTTCCCTCAGGGCTTCAAGACTGAATATTTTCCACTACCAAGATCTGCAGTTACAAATGAAATCCAGGAATCAGTAAATCCTCATCTCAGAGCTGATTACAACACACCAACGAAGAAAGGAAAACTGATTTTGTTGCAGAGATGTGAAGGCTACACAAAATGTAGGAGTCAAAATGATAAATGGGAGTTTGCAGATTCCTGCTAAACCCAACTGCATTTAGGGTGGATACTCTCGGGGTCACAGGAGGTAGCAGGGACTGAGACAAGAAGGCTCAGCTCTGGTCCCAGCTCAACCTCTTCCGTGCGCAGTCTTGAATTCTGATCAGAAAAACTGAGATGACAACACCCTTGCCTCCCACTTCACTGAACTGTCTTGGAGAGATGAGATATTGCAAATTATATGCCCAGGCAACAACGCCTTGTCCTGTCAAAGGCAGAGCTAGCCTAGCAAAGGCTGCTAGCATTTACTCCGCATTAAGGGATGCTAGAACTTTATCCACTCGGCTAATCCTCTAACAGCTTGCCATCAGACCACCCTTTCTATCCACCATGACATTCTAAAGAATGTCTTAACTTAGGCATCGAGAGGCTATGGAAATAAAGTCACAAAAAAATGAAAACTAAACCTCCACACTCCATGAGTTCAGGTCCCACCTCCTCTCCAAGCTGCCTATGAAATGTTTTAAAATTCAAACCATATTGTGTTTATTTATTTGTGTGTGTGTGTGTGTGTGTGTGTGTGTGTGTGTGTGTGTGTGTGTGCAAATGCATACCACAGAATCTGTAAACGTCAGAGGGCAACTTTCAAGGGCAGTTATCTCCTTCTGCCATGGATTCTAGGAGTTGAACTCAGGTCTAGGTTATCAGGTTTGCAGCACTGAGCCATCTGGTCAACCCCAAGCTATATTTTAAATATATAGAGTGTGTGCTATTTCATTTTTGTTGCTGTGAAGCGTGATCCTAATTACTCTTATCAATAAAAACCCAGAGCCAGATATTGAGGGTGAAAGCTGAAAAGATCGGAGAAGCAGAGCAGCCAGCCACCAGACTTCTTACCTCCACAAAAATCTCAGACTGAATGGGAGCCAAGATTCTGTCTCCACCCACCTTATATTCCTGTCTCCACCTCCCTAGTGCTGGGATCAAAGGCATGATCCTCCCAAATGCTAGGATTAAAGGTGTGAGCCACCACTGCCCAGCTCTGTTTCTCTTTTAGACTGGTTCAATCTCGTGTAGCCCAGGGTGGCCTTGAACTCCTGATCTCCCTGCTTCCTCCTCCCAAGTGCTGGGATTAAAGGTGTGTGCCACCACGGCCTGGCCTCTATGGTTAACTAGTGGATAGCTCTGCCCTCTGATCTCCAGGCAAGTTTTATTTGTCAGAACACAAACAAAATATATAACATTGTTGTGATAAACAACCATAACCAATGCAACTTATAGAAAAGTTTGTTTTGGCTCACAATGCTGAAGGGAGAATCCTTAACGATGGGGACACATGGCAGCAGGTGGCCAGAGCAGGAAGCTGAGAGATCACATCGCCACCTCGACACAGGAAGCAGGGAGAATGAACTGGAAGTGGGGTGAGCCTATACATTCTCAAAGCCCTCCCTCGGCCATGCTTCCTCCAGCAAGGCTCCATGTCCTAAAAGTTCCGTAACCCCCAAACAGCACCACCAACTGGGGACCAAGTGTTCAAGCACATGAGCCTATGGGAGCATTCCTCATTCAAACCCCCACATAGGGCTAGTTCATCAAGGGGCACACAGTGGTCAGTCCTGGAAAGGAACCCTCTCCTTACCTTGTGTGCAGTGCAGACCTCTGGACCCCTCATCTACCTGGACTCTAGACGTACTTGAGCTGAGTAGGCCCCAGGAGTCACTTAGCTCTCCTCTTCAACTGACACCCTGTGGTTCTCAATGGACAATTGCTTCTCCAGCAGCAGCTAGTAATGAGGACAGCATGGACCAAGTCCTGTGCCTCAGGTGGGATGGGCACACGAGAGGAGGGGACCTTCAGGGCTCAAATGCTCATGAAGACGTTATCTCCTTCAAGTAAAAGGCGCTTGGTCATAACTGACCAGAGTACTGTGTTAATTCTAACAGCTTTCTTAACTACTAGTGTATAGGGGCAAAATTTCATTTCTTATTAAGCACATAATTTACCTGTGTAAAAGCACAACGTGCTTTATAAATGCTACACAAACAAACATGAATTGCTAGAACAAATTTTCAGAGAAAGGAAACAACACACATGTCTTAGGTTCCATTGTGATAAACACCATGACCAGAAGCAGCTTGGGGTGGACAGGGTCTATTTCACCTTATGCCTCCAATATAACACTCTTGTGTGTGGGGGGGTGTCAGGCCAGGAAGTCGAGGCAGGAACCTGGAGGTGGGACGTGAGGCAAAGGCCATGAAGGAACACTGCTTACTGGTTTGCTTTTCATGACTCTCAGCCTGAGTTTTTATACATCTGAGGACCACCCACCCACTCACATCAATCATTAATCAAGACGGTACCCCACAGGCTTGCTTACAGACCGACCTTTTTTTCCTTGTATTTTTTGTTTTAGACAATATATTCTGATTACAGTTTCCCCTCCCGGTTCCTCCTCCCCTCCCCTCCCATCCAGATCTACACACTTTCTGTCTCATTAGGAAACAAACAGACAACTAAAGAATAATAAAAAATATAATAAGGTAGAGCAAAAACAAATTGGAATAGAATGAAACATGGAAAAGAGCCAAAGGAAAAGCATAAGAAACCCGTTCAGATGCAGAGACACACAGGGGAACCCCATAAAAACACAAGACTGGAAGTCATAGTATATACTCAAAGGAGCTGTAAGGTTAAAAACACAAAAAGGTGCCCGACAACATTATGAGACAAAGAGCCTCCAAAGATGCCATTGAGTGATGCACTGTGTGTCGGCCACCGACTGCTTGGCATGGGAGCTACCCTTAAGAGTGGTTTGCTTGTTTTTTTTTTTCCTTGTGAGACTTCACTGGAGAAAACTAATTTTTCATTTGCACGTGTTTATCAATTGGAGACAGTACCTGGGTTAGGGATGGGGGCCTAACCACTTCTCCTTTTAGCTCTAGGACTCAGCCTGGTACAGACCCATGAAGGCGCTGTGTGTGCGGCCACAGTCTCTGAGACTGGTATGTTGAAAAAGGCCTTGATTCTTTGGTATCCTCTGTCCCTCTTAAACTCTTTCCGCCTCCTCTTCCAGGGTTCCCTGAGCTCCAAAGGGAGGGATTTGATGGAGACACCCCATTTAGGACTGAGTATTACAAGGTCTCTCACTCTCTGTATAATGTCTAGTTGTGGGTCTCTGTATTTGTTCCCATCTGCTGCAGGAGGAAGCTTCTCTGATGATGGCTGAGCAAGGCACTGGTCTATGTGTATAGTAGAACGTCATTAGGAGTCATTTTATTGCTACATTCCTTAAACAGAATAACAGCATTTGGCTTTCCCCTAGGTCTCTGGTCTAGCTAGTCTCAGGTTCCAGGCCACCTGGGCAGTGTGGGGGCTGGGTTCCATCTCATCAAGTGGGCCTTATTTCAAGGAAGATAGTGGGTGGTTACTCCTATAAGTACTGTACCACTATTGTACAGCTTATCTTGCAGGCAGGCCCCCATTGTAGATCAAAGGGTTGGTAGCTGAGCTGCTTCCCTTTCTCCTTTGGCAGTGTGCAGAATCACTTCCAGTACCATGAACACTGGCACACAAGGATGAAGGGTCTAGGTGGGCACCAGTTCCACTTCTATGTGTTCATCGAGTAGTGTAGGCATTGCCTTCACAATAGGGCCTTACTGTCAGCTTGTGGAGAGCCACCAACAGCCATGGCTACAGCCTGGGTTGCTTGGGGTTTCCAATGGGACACCTTTGGCCAATAATTTGATGTAACCCATTCCTGGTACTGGAAGCTTCATTTGGTGATGAGAGGTATCCAGTCGAGGCTCTGTCTCCCTGTTATTTGGTGATTTCATTTAGATCTCCTTCACATATGGATAGAATTTAGGAAGCTTCTACTGTATTAGGTTCCCATCATTCTTAGTCTTAGCTGTCCCTCCCTGTATTCTCTCCTTTACCTCCCTTCCCCTCACCCCACCCCCATTTGATCCTCTCATTCGAGTCCATCCATAGCTATCTAGTCTACTTCTCCTTCCTAAGGAGATCCATTCCTCCCCTAGACCCTTACTCTCTACCTAACCTCCGTGGTGATGTGGATTACAGCTTGTTTACCAACGGCTTCACAGCTAACATCCACATAGAAGTGAATACATACCATTTGCTGTCTTAGTTGGGGTTACTGTTGCTGTGATGAAATACCATGACCAAAAGCAAATTGGGGAGGAAAGGTTTATTTGGCTTATGCTTCCACATCATTTTTCATCATTAAAGGAAGTCACCACAGGAATTCAGCAGGGCAGGAACCTGAAGGCAGGAGCTGATGTGGAAGCCATGGAGGGGTGCTGCTTAATGACTTGCTCCTCAAGGCTTACTCAGCCTGTTTTTTTATAGAACCCAGGACCATCAGCCCAGGGATGGCATCACCTACCATGGGCTAGGCCCTTCCCTATCAATCAGTAGTTAAGAAAACGCCTTACAGGCTTGCTGATCTTTTGGAGGCATTTTCTCAGCTGAGGCTTCCTCCTCTCTGATAACTCTAGCTTGTACCAAGCTGACATAAGACATTAGTACATTTGTCTACACATCAGTCTTATGGAGACATTTTCTCAATTAGGATTCCTTCTTCTCAGATATGTCTAAGTTTGTGTTGGTTGAAAAAATCAACTAGCACAAAGCACTTAGAGGGCTATGTGCCTGTTCCAAGGATTATATAGCATACCTTTATTAACAATCAGTTGTGTGCTGATGCCATACAGTGAATGCTCAGAAGGGCTAGTCATCACTTTGGTCGATTAAGTGCTATGAATATAAATGAATACCATTCTATTGGATCTCCTCCCTCCTGCATCTTTCTCCATTCCAAAGTCCTTTACCATCATTCCTCCTCTTCCTCCTTCTCTTCAACAGAGTCTTGCTGTATTCTCCAAGCTATCCTCAAATTCACAACCCTCCCACCTCATCCTCTGAGTTCTGGGATTACAAGTATATGTCACAATGCCCAATTTATGAGCACTCCTGAAGAGCTGTACAATGGTATTTCAGCTAGGAAAACAGAGGCAAACACTGGTTTAAAAACACCCGGGATTTGCTTCAGTCAAACCCAATAAGAAATGTGGACATGAGTGTCATAATAGAAGTCTTTTAAAAAAAATACTTTACATACTTCAGGAAGAGGAGGCATGGTACACCATGCAGGGCTGCAGGAAACACAAGAGTTGGTCAGGAACCAGCAAGAGGAAAGGAAAAACATGGGACTTGGTTGTATTTTTTCACAGAAAGAAGTGGGCAGGACAGAAAGGTCCAGGATTGGCCAGTTGGAATAATCTTTGTGAGCTCTGGGGAGGAGAACTGTCCTCAGCTGTCTGGGGTTTAGGTGGTGATTAGGACAGGGAACTGAGGGCCACAGTACCAGAGGTCAATAGAAGAAGTGGTTGGAGCTGAGGCTCCTGATTGGTTGGCTGCCCATGTTTGCTGTGTGTAGACGTTAGTTAGCTCTTGGAAAGACAGTCTATCTATGGTTAGTATTCTGACTTGGGTCTTAAATGTCCCTCACAGGCTCATGTGCATGGACACCTGTGCCACCAGCTCTTGGTGCTGTTCTGGGACATATGGAGCCCTTGCAAATGGAACCTAGTGTAAACATAAGCCACTAGGGGCAGGACTTTGAAGGTGATACCCATCTCTGAGTCTGGGTTAGCACTCTGCTTCCTGGGCCACCACCATGTGAACAAGGTCACTGCCAGATCCAGCTGTCACAGACCGAGCCTCTCCAGACAGCGAGCTTTTCCCCCAACGTAATGGACTGACCCTCTGAAGTGTGAGCCCAAGGCAACCTCTCCCCGCTTAAGTTCCATCGGGTGATTTGTCACAACAGCAGGGAGAGAAACTTCGATCAGCAAGAACCCAAAATGTCAAAGCAGCCAAAATAAAGCGTGGCTAATCAACCGGCCAACTGCAAGTCTCTAGAATTAGGCAGGGAGTCAGGGGTTGGATCCTAACACTCACTTCTCCCCAGCCCAAGAGTCTTCTCAGAGAAAGTCTTCCCACGAACTTGTTGATAGTCACTGACATCGTGGGATTTACTGAGATTTAAGATTAAGATTCTAAGGAATAACTTAGAACCTTTCATTGGAGCCATAAGGCTGAGAAGTTCCCAAAATAAAGTGTGTACCGACCCTAGAGCGAAGATGTCAGCCATCGAGCACTAAGTTCAGCCACACATCTGAAAACAATAGCTTGACAACATAAATCTTTGTCTTCTTTGGCATCAAGGCTAGAAGCAGGTAGGCAGGAACAGACATGATGATACACAGCTCCACTAAGGCCTCGGGGCATCCATGATCCTTCGAAGGCAGGCTGAAGTATCCCAGAATTTTCTTTTGTTCCTCAGGCTCCAAGGTATAGAGAGCTATGTTTTCAAATGCCAGGACTGAGGAAGAACAAAAATAAAAAGGAGTAGGTGCACAGTGCCTGAAGTTATCACGTGATCCTTCAGTTTTATCTAACTGACCAGAACAGACACACTGTTTCATACAAACAACCATGAAAGAAAAAAATGCCATTGTTACTCAGCTAAAATAAAAGGCGCTTAGGATTAGATTTTGTAGATAACTTATGATCCTATCACACACTGTGCTTTGAGCTCCTACAACCCTTCTACATTCTCTTTTATGGGACCAATTACAAAAGCAGTCGGCCAGGCTTCAAGTCTGAAATCGGCCATTATAAACCTTTACTCCTCTTATTCTCCAATGTCAGGCCAAGTCTGGTTTATTCGACTGCGGTAATCTCTCTTGAGCAATTTCAGAAAGGGGTTCTACCATCTGGCCCGCCATTCTGACGTGCTGACTCTCCCTCCTAATACCCCCCACGCCCCTTTGAGATCATGCCCTTTTCTGGAGCAGGAGCCTTTTCACGAATGCTCATCTGGCTATGTCTTTTGCTGCCTAGCGCCCTGCAGAACTCCTTCTGGCTTTCAGCACAAAGCCCAAGAGACAAACGATGCAGAGGCCTTCCACGATGTGTGGTCCCTGACTGTCCCACTCACCTAATCCCCCTTGTGCCCATCCTGACATATACAAGTCCATATGACCCCAACTATATACGATCCAAAATCTGCCACAGAACTCAGTGACTCCATGCGTTTGTGCACACCGAGTTATCCAGAATATTCCTTTCTGACCTCTAGGAAGGTCAGAGGATTTCTGTCATTATTCAAGACCCACGTCTGTAAAGCTTTTCTCGACCCTGACTTCAGACCCTGGATGGGCACGGCTTCCTTGATGCCACCCCAGCCATGTTCCGATACACTGTAATGATTCATCTCTACATTAATCCATCCTGCCAGGGACTGAGTTTCTGCAGGACAGGCACCACATCTTACTCATCTCTGAAGAACTAATTCTGATTGTATCTGTCAAGTAATAAAGCCCTCAGGAACCAGGCACAGAACAAAGCCCTGGCAGGGAGGAGGTGCCCTCTGAACCCGTTGCCCTGTAGCACATATGCGAGCCTGCACTTGTGGTCTCTCTGCCCTGGAGTAGCAGTTGGCAGGTGTTTCTGGCTGGAATCTCCACTGTAAACCGGACTCTGCACTACTTGGCCACAGTTCTGGCCCCCGAGACGGCTGTTAGGAGGCACGACCGTGCATTTGTGAGGGCTGAGAGGGAAAACAACCAGACCACACCAAACATTTCAAAGCCAAATGATGGCCCATGTGGAAAAAAAAAAAAAAAACTAGGCTTAGTTTATAGTGTAATTAGATGGTGGCCCTACCTTAAACACACCACGGTGATGACATCATCGCATCAATTGGTGTGACCTCTGGTTGAGATATCAAATAATGATAAAACAAAAAGATTTTTTAAATAGCTATGGACACAGATATCCTAAGTTAGTAGCAAAGGGTACCACTCAGCTGGAGAGTGTTTGCCTGGACCCAGGTTCCATCCCTAGCACAGCCAGAAAGAAGAGGAGATGGGAAGGATGAGGGGGGAAGAAAAGGACAAGGCGGGAAGGAGAAGGAAAAGAGCTGAATAATTACATCAGAATACAAAGCGTAATATGTACAACTATAAATAAGAGGCTGCTGCAAGGCAGTTGTCCACGGAGAATTCTAAGATGTCCCCAGGAATCCTAATAGTATCCCAATTACACAGCGATGTAACCTAAGCGTCCAGAAGCATCACTGATGTATGCAGGTCCTTCCTTGATATTTGCTTTAAGCCCAGATGCAAATAAAGTTAATAAAGGCAAAATAAATAAATAAATAAAAAGGACACAGGTTCAATGTAAATTCTTTACATCACCCTCACCTCAATCCTTAAAACAGCTGTAGTGATGTGTTAGTCTACACAATGATAACAGCACTACACGTTTACTTATTTGCTTTTGGTACTAGGGACTGAACCCAGTACTTTGTGTGCACTGAGCACATACTCTAGCACTAGCCCAGATGTCTTCGGGTAAAGGTAGTTTGACGTTACTCACCTGTTAGGACGCTGTTGCAGCTTCTGATGGCGGCGCAGTGACAGAGTAAAGGGTGGCCCAGAAGGCCCCAAGAACGGCCCCTGCTGCTGATGTTTGGAAGATGATCCGGTCTGTCCACTCCCCTGGGCACCAGCTCTCTGGCCCTCTGCTGAATGCTACAAGCAGCTCTTCTGGGAGTTAGATGAGAACTTTGTCATTCGACAGTTTAGAAATACTGGGGAAATTACCTAACTGTTTTATACTTCTACTTCCTCATAAATTGGGGATGACACTAGAGTGACTTCATTATAAAAATTAACTGAGATGATCCAGGTGAAGTGTCTAACGTGAAGCCTGATGCAGATTAAGTGTTCCATAAACTTGATTACTTGTATTATAATTAAGAATAGAGCCACTGTCCTCATTAGTATAGTGGTGAGTGTCTCCACCTGTCACTCAGGAGACTGAGGTTCGATTCCCTGAGGGGAAGGTGTACTGCAAGGATTTTGTCAACTGGACATGGGTAGAGTTATCTGAGAAGAGGAAGCCACAATGGAGAAGATGCCTCCATAAGATAGGCCTGTAGGCATGCCTATGAGCAACCTTTCATCTTCTTCATTAGTAATAGATGCAAGAGGGTCCAGCCCATTGTGGGTGGTACCTTTCCTGGGCTAGTGGTCCTGGGTTCCATAAGAAAGCAGGCTGAGCAAGCCTTGAGGAGCAAGCCAGTAAGCAGCACCTCTCCATGGCCTCTTCATCAGTTCCTGCCTCCAGGTTCTTGCCCTGTTTGAGTTCCTGTTTTGACTTCCCTTAGTAATGGACTATGATGTGGAACTGTGAGCTGAAATAAGCCCTTTCCTCCTCAAGTTGATTTTGGTCATGATATTCTTTTTTTTTTCTTACTCTTTTTTTCTAAAACATTTATTTATTTATTTATTTATTTATTTATTTATTTATTTATTTATTATGTATACAATGTTCTGTCTGCGTGTACACCTGCAAGCCAGAAGAAGGCGCCAGATCTCATTATAGATGATTGTGAGCCACCATGTAATTGCTGGGAATTGAACTCAGGACCTCTGGAAGAACAGCCAGTGCTCTTAACCTCTGAGCCATCTCTCCAGCCCCTGGTCATGATATTCTATCACAGCAATAGAAACTCTAGAACAGGAGTCAAGACAGGAATGGTGGCATACATCTTTAATTCCAGCACTCAGGAGGCAGAGGTGGGTGAATCTATGGAAGTTCCAGACTAACCAGTGAGACCCTGTCTCAAGTGTGTGTGTGTGTGTGTGTGTGTGTGTGTGTGTGTGTGTGTGTGTGTGTCTGTCTGTCTGTCTGTCTGTCTGTCTGTCTGTCTATCTGGGTGTGTGTGTCTATGTCTTGTCTTTGTGTGTATCAGACTGCCTGGGATTGACTTCTGTCTCTATTTTTTAATAGCTATGTGCAGTAGGACTTTCTTATTGGACTTTTTCTTGGGGACCACCAGCTCCCAAATAATGACATGAAGACTTATTAATTATATGAATGCTAGGTCTTTAAATGTTCCAGTGATTTGATACCAACAATTAGCCATTTAAAAATATATGAACAAGCTCTTATTTAATCATTAGAATCTATAATTTTTTTCTTGAAACTATTTGACAGTGTAACATTTATATTGAGGCTTTTAATTACCCTATTATCCTTTTCTGCAGCCAAAACATAAATATGAATTGACTTAAATTTGTTTTCATTTCCCATTACCATAATTCACTAAGCATTAAGCATTTTTCTCTAGATTGGGTCCTTATTAAATCTTTATGTGTACAGCTGGACAGACAGATCCAAATATAAGTTTTAGTAAATATTTGTTTAATATTTGTTAAATATTAAAAAAACAGCAGGAAACTCTTTATATTCCTCTCCCTCTTCCTTTATCTATACAAAGAACATGTACCAAAAGTCCTGGGTACCAAACTGAACAGATGGAGCAGTCATTTCAGCCTGATGTAATGCCTGGGTTGAGACATGGCTCAAGCAGCCAGGATCCGACACACGGCCAAGTCACTGACCACTTGTAGAAACACTTGGATCTGCACAGGCCAGTTGGAATAACTCAGCAAATGTTCGATAGGATCAGACAAGGAGGACCAACAGCTATGCCGAGGCTCATCATCATCCCCAAATAAACCCTGTGATGGCCCAAATTTAATATACATCGAAGGAAAAAGTCAGCCAGGCATAGTAACACATACCTGTACTCTCAACACTCTGAAGCTGAGGCAAGAAGAATGCAAGTTTGAGGCTAGCCTGGGCTGGAGGATGAGTGTTAATATTCTGACCTGTCCCTTGGAAACCTGCCCTTCATCCTGACTTAAAGGTCTGATTTAAGAAAACCCCTCCCTTCTTCTCTCTCTTCCGCTCTCTTTCTCTCCACTCCCACGAGGTGTGCACCCTCGACCCCTCCCTCTCTTTCTCTTTCTTCTTTCTATTTCCTTACCTTTCTATCAAATAAACTATTTCCATGTGGATGCAGAACCTATGAGTGACTGTCCACGCGCCTCCGCCCCCGTCACCCACCGCTCTATCTGCCCAGCATGTTTTTCCTCATATGTGAGGCACCCTGGCCTGGCCAGCGGGGGATCCCCTGTGTGCAATATCATAACATTGGTGCCGTGAAGTCGGCAGGCTATCCCACTGCTTTCTCCTGCCCGCCGGAGGGTTGAGGAGCTCTGGGACCCTGCACTGCCCACCATTTTTCCGAATGGAGGACCTCTGGGACTCTTCACCCTGTTGGTAAGATTTCCCTCTTCCCTTTTGGACGTTTCCCCACAAGTGAGGATTCGCTCATCTCTCGACCATGGGTCTCCCAAAGTTCTGTGCCAGCATCACGTGTCTTTCGGGTTTCAGTCCTTCAGCCCGTGTCCGTATGCAACAGCATATGGAGACAACATGTGCCCACTCAGTTCCACGGCCCGTGGTCTTTCGTACCACCTTCCACTAGCTATCTTGCGCCGTTATGGGTCCTCACTGACCCTCTGGGGGGAGGTCAGTCCACTCGACCTTATACCTCACTGTGGAAAATGCTTACTCTCTCCTATCCAAGGTCCTCCCTTATTCCACTCTCCCCCATACCCCTCCAAGCTCTGCTAAGCAATTACATCATCACCTATCTATCGCCAGGTTCCTTTCCATGACATATAAAATTGCCCTCCAGGCAAAGTTCATTCTCTTTGCCTGCCTCGTGCCTCTAATTCCTCTTCTTGTCTGTAATTTTATCACTTAAATCTTTTCTCTCTGTCACTTAACTCTGTTGCCAGGACCTCATCCACCTGTTCCACCTGCAGGACCTTGGCACACAGCCCTGCCCCACAGGCTGCCGAATGACAGGGGTGGCAGATTAGCTGCAGAAGATGTCTGGTCACTTGACTGTATTGCTGCTGCTGCTGCAGCTACCACCATCGCCGCCACTCACCCTGTTGAGGCAAGCCAGGTGGAGCATAGGCCCCCGCCACTGCCGCTGACCCATGGCTTGGGTTTGTTCCTCTGCGGCTGCTGGCACCATGCCGCAGCCCTGAGTTGGGGGGGGGTCCCTCTCTCCCACCTGGCTGCACTGCTACTCCGTTTCCCAGTCTCCTCCATAGCACCACCTCCGAGATCCAATGCATTAACCATAAAAGTTTCCCAGGAAAACCGTTCTTTGTCTTTCTTTGAAAAACCTATTTCCTATGTGTGAATGGAAATGTATGATTGATGGGGCCGCCTATATTTCTTTCTGACCTTTTTTTTCCTTCTTTTTGTCGAGACAGGGTTTCTCTGTGTAGCTTTAGAGCCTGTCCTGGAACTCACTCTGTAGCCCAGGCTGGCCTCGAACTCACAGAGATCCGCCTGCCTCTGTCTCCCGAGTGCTGGGATTAAAGGCATGGGCCACCACCACCCGGCCTGACTAACTTTTTTTTTTAAATAATTTATGTAACTTTATTTTATGTGCATTGGTGCAAAGGTGTCAGATCCCCTGGAACTGGAGTTACAGACAGTTGTGAGCTGCCATGTGGGTGCTGGGAATTGAACCCAGGTCCTCTGGAAGAGCAGCCAGTGCTCTTAACCGCTGAGCCATCTCTCCAGCCCCCTGACTACCTTTTAAATGCTTCAGTTTATATGTTTCTTATCTGTTCAGTTTATTTGGGGAAACAAACAAACAAACAAAAAACCAAAAACCCCATATAACCATGTGTTCAGTTGCCATATTTGATAAGGGCAGTCACATGGTCAGGCACCATCTTAAATAAGGTGAAAACAGAGAGGTCATATGACCTCACTGCCATCTTTACTAAGGGCACCAGGAAGTCACTTACTGACTCAGTTGTGGGCGAGGGCAGCATGCTCCTATGTCAGGATAATGTAGCAATAGTAATGCTTAAGAGATTTTAAATCTTTTAAAAATACCATGTACTTTATTTTTGATATTTCAAGAAGACATATGAGAAATCTTGAACCTTTTCTTGGGAGCAGTTTTTAGGTCTCTTGATGAATGATTCAGGATATAAATACCAATTGTACATACTTTTTAACCCAAATCTGAAATTTCACTAGGACTCAAAAGTATGAGCCTAGATACTTATTACCTGCTTTTCTGTGATTCAGATTTCCATACTCATTGGGAATACTAATATATCAAACATTTATGTCCTCTTATAAAGTAAGAATGCATATAAGCCTCAAAAGATCAAAAGAAGCCATGGGTTCCACTTCACAGAAGTCAAAAGAACTCCAGATAAGTGAGTTTTCCTCACCTGTCTATTTCTGAGGATGGCATTTTTCTCTCTCCTGGTCTCCAATTACTAAGACCATGGACTTAAAGGTTCAGAATAAGTTCATAAAATTTTAACTTGTCTCGAGTCTGTATCTGTTTCAGTGGGCTTCCATCTGGCCAACTAATGCATCCAGGCATCGGCTACTGACTTCAACCTGTGACACATGGACTTGCTGAAGACTGATGTGGACCAGTCCAGCCAAATGCAATTATTTCCTGTCTCTACAGCTAAGTCAGATGACCACATACTGATAAATACCCCATTGCCTAGGTTCCCTCCTTACCTTTAACTAGCCAGAGTCCTGACCACCTGCGTCCTGTTTCAGCTTGAAGCAATTATGGAGAAAAATATGTCATCTTGTGCTCCCTGTTCCCAGGGCAGGCTGGAGGGCTAAGTTCAGGATGGAACCCCTGGCATAGGGGACCAAATGACTACAGGAAACTGGACCCAATATTGGAATAAGATAAGATGCTTGACCTTCTTTATGCAGAACAAAAGAAGTATTACATGACCTTAAGAAATTATTATTTCTGTATAAATCATTAAGGATTACAATCTGGCTGTACTCACAGATCAGAACTGCAGCTACAGGGCCTTAAAAATGATAATAGATTTCGATATCACTGCCAATGGTTTAACAAATGCCTCTCCTTACTCAGGGTCTACTCAGGCTTAAGAATGTGAGCCTCCCTGTCCCTGCTGACTTCACTAAGCTGTAACTAACTGGGAAACCTGTCTATCCACATCTAACAGATTTTGTTCCCCCAGTCCTCAAACACCTGTAGAGCTCTGAGAATATGGCACTTAATATAAAAGCCTTTTTATGATGAAGAGACATGTCAGCTCCTGGCAGCATCCTGTATCTCCTCCAAGAAGATGGATGGCCACAGAAGAACTTCCACCCAAAAGCTTATGGCAAGGCTGGCCACACAGTGAAAAGCTGAGATCCCGTCCAGACTGTGAATAAGAGGAGAAACAGGGATCAATTGTCCTCTCTGCCAAGACAGGTAGGATGACCTCCCCAAATTTCTACTTCACAGAAAAAAAAATCTGTCAGATCTTCTGGGCCTATCAGCTGAACAAGTGCTGCCTTTGGGGCTTCTGTCCCCCATTGACCATGAAGAGACTTGGGATTGCTGCCTAGGTAGCTGGAAAGCTGTCTCACTTCTTCTTAAATTTATCCTTCTCAGATCTGACAATGTTTAATTACTAGGGTACCAGTTTAACAGCCCCAATCCAAAGATTATATATACATGCTCTCCAATTACAGACAGCTATGCCTCATTCACAGACTTCATGGTATAGGATAGACTGGTTTCATACAGAATACACTGGTTTCAGATATAACTCCAGAGGTTCAAAGTTTTAATATTGATAAATACAATTTTGATAAACTGATAGAGCATTGACTACAAAGAGTTTTTAAGAATTCTTTAATTTCTATGGATTTTGCTATGATATCAACCTATCCAGCTGTCTTACAGATACCTGCAGGGTCCTGGGAAAAGTTCTGCTACTGTATCAAGAAATCTGGTCTGATAAAAACTTAACAATCTCCATAGCTCATTTCTGACCCCGCCTAATTTTCAAGCATATTTTGCAGATTCATTGTTCCTGCCTGACCTCCAGAGAAACAGCAGATGCCATGGCTTCTATACTCCTGATTGGTGTGCCATTTTCCCCCAGGCTCCTGGAACATCACTGCTGCAACCTGTCTCCTCGGCTCCCTCAAGGAACAGACGCCTGAGATCTCCCATCATGCGCAACTCCTGGCTTCTCCCTGCCCCTTGTCAGCTTGAAGCAGTCTCCAGAATTCAGCACCTTTGTCCCCCCACTTGATATCCATAACTCACCTTTTTATAATAATCAAAAGGGAGGAATGTTGGTATTCTGACCCACCCCTTGGAAACCCGCCCCTGGGGGCCGCCCTGTGTCCAGATGTAAAAGCCTCATTATAAGGAAAGACCCTTTCTTCTTCTCTCTCTTCCGCGCTCTCTCTTCATTCCCACGAGGTGTGCACCCTCGACCCCTTGCCTCCCCCCTTTCTCTCTGCCCTCCTCTTTCCCTGTCTTTCCCTTCATCCCTCTATTATAATAAACGTGTTTCCACGTGGATGCAGCACCTGGGGTGTGAGTGACTGTCCCCGGGCTGCTGCATCTGCCCGGCATATTTCCCTGCACACATGGGATACTCTGGCCTGGCCAGCCGGGGTCCCTTCGCGTCCAATATCATAACACTGAAAATCTATCTCCAATAAATAAATGAATGAATAAATAAATAAATAAACAAACAAACAAACGAATAAAGCCAGCCGGAGTCCCTTCACATCCAATATCATAACAATGAAAATCTATCTCCAATAAATGAATGAATGAATGAATGAACGAATAAAAAAATTCCAAATAAGGTTAATGGAAAAATTATAGGGTTTTTTTGTTTTGTTTTGTTTCTTTTTTGGCTGGGGGAGGGGGTCTGAGACAAGGTTTCTCTATGTAACAGTCCTGGATGTCCTGGGACTCACTCAGTGGACCAGGCTGGCCTCGAACTCAGAGATCCGGCTGCCTCTACCGCCCCGAAATCTGGGATTAAAGGCGTGCACCATCACCACCCGGCAAATGATAGGGTCTTAGTTAAAAGACGCATCTTGTCTAACACCTTTTTGCTACTTGGCTGTAAAGCAAGAGTGCCTCCGTGATGGAAGCCCCGAGAGGAGAGACTGTATGTCTACTGCCTAGAACTGTGCCTGGCACACGTAGCCATTCAGTGAGTGTGTGTGGTCAGATGAAATGCCCCTACGATGGCATCAGGGTTTTTAATCCTTGGGTAAAGCACTGTAGGAAGCTGTGGGATGGCAGAGGGCATCGACTCCTCTGTAAGGCAAAAACGAGCAGTGGGGAGAGGGCCGGGAGAAGACAAACACCCAGTGGCTCAGAGGTTAAGAGCACTGGCTGCTCTTCCAGAGGACCCAGGTTCAACTCCCAGCATCCACCCGGCAGCTCACAAGTGTCTGTAACTCCAGTTCCAGGGGTCTGACACCCTCTCACACACATGCACACCATCAATGCATATAAAATAATGATAAATCACTTTAAAAACAAAACACCAAGTTCAGAAGATTCTGGTCTTATCTGTTGTAGGAGTTTGTTTACTTCAGCATGTGGTCTGAGTAGTCTGACTGTGAGCGGCAGTTGTTCTGGGAGAAGCTGGTGGGCTTCAGGGAGAAGAGATTCTTCCAGTGTCTTCATTCCGGGCTGGACACTTCCCAAACCAGAATCAACCTGAAAAGAAATGCTGGGCGAGACACCCACTCACTGAGCTTAACTCACTCCACAGAAGAACTTGGAAAGTAGATGCATGGAAGGGCGTGGTTATCTGAGCTCCAAGCCAACAGCAGCGGTGAACACTGAAATGACGTTAACTCTCAAAGTCAAGATGCAGAGAGAGAGAGAGACAGACAGACGAGAGACAGAGAGACAGAGACAGAGAGAAGGACCCACAAACTCACTCAAGACATTCAAATATCTGTGATGGGGAATGGCCACTTTGTGCCTGGGGCGGTGCTGGGTGTTGGAATTTATCATCAAGTCACACAAAATAATCTGCCAAGTGGACAGCTGAACATGGAAGTTGTGTGGCAAATGTTCTGGGCATTGTGAGCTCTCTCTCTCTCTCTCTCTCTCTCTCTCTCACACACACACACACACACACACACACACACACACACACACACACACACACACACACACACACCCAGAGCCAAGTGCTATAACACTGAGCTCCAGGCCCAGCCCCTTCCTTTCAATAAATCCTACCTCAGGAAAGGAAGGAAACCTCCCGGTTAGGCTTGGGGCAAGAGAAACATGGTGGCCAGAAGCCTCCTCTGTGCTCGGGCTTCTCACCAAATACACCTATCTGAGGGAAGTTCTCCAGAATCTACTGTGTAGTCCTGTGCCTCAGATGATTTCAGCTCCTCTGCAATAAAACAACCTGACTGGACTCAACTTCCAGTTCCCAGCCAGCCTGATAAATCCTTATCAGCCGCTCACGTCGGGAGGCTTAAGGCAGAGAGTGAGGCTTGCTTTTCTCTCCGATCCCAGGCCTCAGCCTTAGAGCGCCCTAACAAACCAGTTCTCAGTGGCCTTTCAAATACTGTATCAGTTGTCTTTCCTCCCCACCCCACCCCCAGAGACACAGGGCGGGGGGCGGGGGGAGAGGGAGAGGGAGGAGAGGGAAGAGGGAAGAGCATGGAGGGAGAGGGGAGAGACTGACTTTGGAAGACTGTAAAGAGCTGCATGTTTTCCACAGCATTTCAGCTCATGAAAATACTACAGATGTTAACTCACCGGAGAACACAGCCAGCTGGAAGTGGGGCTCAGAAAGAAACACAGAGCAAGGCCCTCCAGCAGATGCAGTCCTTTCCCTGGGGCTGTGGGAGTCCCTCTCGCCTGGAGGACTGAGCGCATCTATCCGATACCCTGTGACTGTGTCAGTCAGGGAAGGGCGTCTGCAGGCTTCTAACTGATGCCATTTCCATAGCTGAAGACCAGGTCTCCTTGGGAGTCTATGACAGACACCAGCTCCTCCCAACCTGAGTGTGAACAGGCCCTCACCTCTTCTCGTGAGGTCCCCAGCCCTCAGTGTCCCCAGGTCCCTCATACTTTCCTATGAGACCCCCCCATCCCCACCCCCAGACCCAAGCACCCAACCTGTGCAACCCAGCCTTCCAGGGCGACACAGGGTGACTTTTAACTTGGATTAGAAGCTTCGCTAGATAACCGCCTCCTCCTGTTCCGTCCTCTGGCAAGGCTCCCCTTCTTTAATTGGGTCACAAGTGGCTTCCTTCAGAGGTACTGTTCAACTTTGAGAAAGTCCACAAGCAGAAACGGAGAGGATTCAAACACAGGAAATGGGGTACATGGCTGTTAGCAAATTCCCCTGTCTCCAGGTCCCTTGCCACTAAAGAGGCATGGGCAGAGAGGAGGGCGCAGGGAAGCCGAGGCCGTGGCAACGGATGAGGACATGAATTTGAAAGTTTACAGGCCTTTGTAAAGCAGTGGCTGTTCAAAAGCACAGAGAAGGACCACAAGGGCACCAGGGAAGGGCACTCACAGACTAGACACCAAGGAACCGTAAGCCCAGGAAGCAGAACTGGCTGTGACCCCCTGCTCTTCTCAGGTGACAGGGAACCTCTCCACTTGCCCTTCAGCTGTAACCACAGGATGATGGCCTGACGTCCTCCGCATCCTGCATTTAGCAAGCTGAATCAATACAGATGAAACAGTTCCTGCATTAGCCCACTTTTCCCCATTACTATAGCAAAATGCCAAAGACTGGATGAGTTATAGACAAAAGAGGTTTGCCTTGGCTTACCGTTCTAGAGGTAAGAAAGTTCAAGATCATGGCACCAGCTTCTGCTCAGCTTCTGGTGACATGACCACACGGCAGAACAGGGGAGGGACACAGGCTTGTGTCCGGGGCATGGGTGCAAGAGAAGACAGAGGCCAACCTGCTTCCAGCGGCCCACTCTTACTGAAGGCACCTAACTCCCTCCCTCCCAATGGACTCCACTTCGGAGAAAACTAACTCAGTCTCTTGACAAAGACATTAACCCACTCTGGGGATAGTGCCACATGACTTAAAATCACCTTCTGAGCCGGGCGGTGGTGGTGCATGCCTTTAATCCCAGCACTCGGGAGGCAGAGCCAGGCGGATCTCTGTGAGTTCGAGGCCAGCCTGGTCTACAGAGATCCAGGAAAGGCGCAAAGCTACACAGAGAAACCCTGTCTCGAAACCCCGCCCCCCCCCCAAAAAAAACCAATCACCTTCTAGTAGTACTCATCTCTTACATCCCGCCACCATCAGAGACCAGGCTTTCAGCACATCCGCCTTTGAAGGAGAAACCACAGCCAGACCAGAGCCGTTCCTAAGGCAATGGAATAATAAGTAACTTTAGCGACAGTTCACCAAGCACAAGGCACTAGAAGCAAACAATCTGTCGGATGATTCGGTAAGCAACACACTACCATTCTAAGCGATTAAAGACCGGAAAGCTAAGTACAGAGAGGTGAAATATCCGCACGAGCCACATAGTTATGAAATGACCAAGCCTATGCCTGGACACAGGACAGTGACCTGCCGCAAGCTGTCCACTGGGCCTTTCTGCAGTGAAATCTGCGCTTTCCAACAAGGTAGCCTCAGGCCATGTGTGTCTGCTGGGCAATCTGTTCCCTCGTCCATTCACGAGTGCGTGCAGTCACTTTGTTGTTTTTTTTTAAGGAGATCTTTCTATGCAACCCAGGCTGACTTCAAACTCCTGCACTCAAGTGATCCTCCTGTCTCAACTTCCAAAGAAGCTGGGATTACAGGTGTTTTTGCCATGGCACTAGAGTTGTTGAATACTAAAATGTGACCAAGGAACTGAATTTTAAATTTTATTCAATTTTTAATGAACTTAATTTCTGTCAGTTTGTTTTTCGAGACAGGGTTTCTCTGTGTAGTCTTGGCTATCCTGGAACTCGCTTTTGTAGACCAAGTTGGCCTTGAACTCACAGAGAACCGCCTGCCTCTGCCTCCCAAGTGCTGGGATTAAAGGCATGTGCCACCACTGCCCGGCTATGAACTTACATTTAAATATCACATGTAGTTAACTATCAGTTCAGGAAGCCCAGCTCAAGCGGTCCAACTGTTAACACTGAAGATTACTGTGCCTGATGTGGGTCAAGATAATGAAGCTGGGACAGGCTTCTTTATGTACGTGACAAGGGAGATGTGTTCCAGTGAGCTGCTGCTAATGCCATGTCACTGTGCTGTTTTCTGATGGCCACCCATGTGGCAAACTTACTTTCTAATCACAAGAGTGAGTTTGGAAAAAGTTATTTATTTATCTTTATTTTATGTGCATTGGTGTGAAGGTGTCAGACCCCCTGGAACTGGCGTTACAGACAGTTGTGAGCTGCCATGTGGGTGCTGGGAATTGAACCTGGGTCCTCTGGAAGAACAGCCAGTGCTCTTAACCTCTGAGCCATCTCGCCAGGCCAAGAGAGATTTTTTTTTTAAAGTATTTTTTCTTTTAAGTATTTTTTAAGAGTAAAAACAATGTGTGTGTGTGTGTGTTTGTGTGTGTGTGTGTGTGTGTGTGTGTGTGTGTGTGTGTGTGTGTATCACATGCATGCCAATGCTGTGGAAGCAGAAGAAGGCATAGGATCGCTAGAGCTGGGGTTACAGGAGGTTGTGAGC